AAAGGTTTTTATGAGAACTATTATTTACAACAAAGCGATAAGTACTTAAATATTAAAGGACAAGAAAGCGAAATTGTTTGTTTCTATATTTCATAAGATATCAGACTAAAAAGGGCACGAGGTCGTAGAAACACGGCCAGTTCTATTGAACCACGAAACAATACTTCCCCACCTGTGTAGCCTAGAGTCGTGTTCTTGTTCATACTTTTTTTATCAAACACACGTTTGTAATTACAAAAAATGGTTTTACCGTTATAGGTTATTAGCATCGGTATCGGGGGCATTCATTGAGTATCAATCAATATCCATTTTGTAAAGGTCGCCTTGACCTTGTGCGATGTCTGTCCGAACGAACTTAGTCACTCCCATAAGGGGAGCTTTATGTGTTTGTCAATAACACTTAAGGCTAGACACAAACATCTACTACTAAGCTATAAATTCTAGTAAATGTCATATCTAGCTTAGATAGATACGTGTTTTTATTTCCAATGAATATAGCAAGAGCACTCTTGAAATTGAGTTGTTATAACGAGTAACGAGTTCGGTTGGAGACTTTCATATTAACTCTACTACTACGATATGAAATGGCAACTGGACGTTTTGGCATATTGTCAAAACTATCTCCCATTTATTTTTTATCCTAGATCTGGACTCATTCAGACTTTTAATGTCGACGAAACACTCGGGCAATTAATAGATATTTATGTATTACTACGTTTAAATGACTAGGAAAGCGTTTGAAGATATAGACAGAGCGGTTTTAAAGATTGCTTTTATGATGTTAATATATGTATGGAAAAGAATATTTTTAGTACAAAAGACATATTATGTATGTAAGTACAAGATAAAAGCAGGTAATGTGGCCAAAAGTAATTAAATGTTGTCTTTACGTCAGAGTTTGCATGTGACTTCATTTGTTTTGTGTAAATATCAGTAGATATAAAACGATAAACATTTTAATGGATGTTGAGGACCGGATGCTGAACTTATTCAGGCATCGTTTCACTCAATTTACACAGATGGCTACGTCACACGGTGACTGGTGATGACAAACAGTTTGTACGTATAATTTTATTACCAAGTACAATGATTTCAAGTTCTATTCAGTTTATTCGAGTGGTGACTACTGGCGATGGCGACTAAACGATTGGAGGCACTGTAACGGAAAACCCCGCTTGAGTGGAACCCACCACGATTGTCTATTTATGTTTAATGGGTAACATGCGAATAATAAACGATTGCACCTAGTTACGGTAGACTTGTTACATTATAAACGCATGTGTGGCCGTTAGTATCGGTTCCCTATTTGCCATGGTAACAACCCTAAACATTTTTGCACATTACATAAAGTAGCTGCGCTATCTTTTTCAGTTAGTTCGACAAAGATTACAACCCTATTTTAAACAAATATTAATCCCATTCAAAGAGGTCGTGTTCAGGCCTAATGCTTTGTTCGAACCGGAAATCTCCCAAGATTTCTGGTTCCCTTGATCCGAAAACATTGTGTTTAGCAACCGCGTTTTCGGAAACATTCAAAGTACCTAGATAAAAATTTTACACCGTATTCTTAAAATTCACATAAACCAGTTAAATGGCGATTGATTCTAAAAACAGCACGTATTACGAATAACGATCTAGTATTATTCGGTATCAATCGTTGTGAATTGTGTCGTGACCAGTTTAATCGGTAAAAAACGATTTTTAAGTAACAGTCGATTCAATTCATGCGTAAAACAGATCTGGTACTATAAAGCGGTCATAATTTAAATAAGAAGCTATCATTCATCAAAACCTGATTGTTGATTAAATAAGGTTATTATTGGAAACATCAACATTACCGATGATGATGACATACGAAAAATTATTACAAAGTAACCTGATTAGTAAGGAGTATTTATAGAACAGTAGGCAACGAATAACCACATTGATTTTATCAATGGCAAAGTGCATGAAGAATGAAATGATAACTGACCCAGAGAGTCCAGCTACAATACTAAAAATATTGTCATCAATTCCAGTGAGGAACAATACTGATACGTAACCAGTAACTACGCATTCCACATACAACGTGTTTCTATCGCCGTGAACGTGACCGTGAACTAGCTTATGCTCGATACGTCAGCTACGCACACATTTAAACATTCACGTGTTGAGAGACTCGAGAAGCCTCATAACGAACCTTCCTCCCCCAGTCCACCCCAGCTAGACTATACATTTATAATGCAATTTTTATAAGGAGATTATACCAATGGAAGAAATATGTATTATTCAAAAGGTAAATGCCGAAAGGCCTTGACGATAATGGATTAAACAGATTTACCAGCACGTAACGATAACTTCGATACAATTGAATGGAAAGTTAGTACGTTACGTACTAAATGAATAAATCTTACCCACTTTAATATTAATTGAATTTCTTCTGCGAATAAATTATGGAATTACGTTCGATTAATTGAAATAAGAAGGGAACTTTGCTCATGTATTTTTCCAACACCTTTAGTGAGGCTGAACCAAAACAAAAACAAGCAACCAGGAATATAATAAGGTTCCTTAAAATAGCAAGAAAAGCGTCCACTACTCGTTTCGGAGCCAGTGAAGCTCGCAAATCGGTCTTCACCTAGAGCTTTAGGAGCAAAAATAAACGATGCACGTGACTGAAACCAATGTAAAACAACCGAAATACACTGCGTAGCACAGAATACAAATACGTTTGATGTTACGCAACATAATTATTGCCAGTTTTAAATTTTAAATGAGTTTTATTCAGATCTAGACTCGTTTTATTGGACTTTAGCCCGGCGTTACGTCTTGGCAGGGTATGATATGATACATCTATCCTATATGTATGGTGACAAAGCATTACGGTACGGAATTCTCGGTGACGTCCGAATTTGTGAGATTTTTATACATAACAAGTATTGTATAGATATGAATCATGCATCATTTGGCTCATATGATGCAGGTTGGAGATTTCCAAGTGGTATGACCTTAGGTATTCAATAACTTACAAGGTTTGCACGCGGACTTGATATGTATCAACAGTTACAGGTAAATGTTTAATACTTTAAATATGTAATGGCATGTAAAGAGGCAGAGTTCATGAGTCATCCTAAGAGTTAGGGGAACTTTTATATTCTCAATGAATGACATTAAAATTGAAAGTCATCTTGTTCTGAAATGACAAGGAACTAAAAACTAGTCATACAATATAACGGGTTATAAGTTATCGGTGTGTTCATGTGATATGAACCAAAAGCCACGACCTAACTGTTTATTTGTTTTTAACGAAAAAATCAAAACATTGGAGGAACATGCGAGACAACGTGATAACCATACTAGATCTATTATGATCTTTTATGGCTTCTCTACGTAAAGACGCTGCTTCCAGAGATTTCTACGCAACCAACTAGAATTTATGCTACTTTAGGCATGTTATTAGACAATTAAGTTTTAAATAGGAGAAACACGTTTTTAGTTACCAAATCAGAGGTATTCATATGAATGATTAAAGTCTTTAATGTTTCTACAACCTTTCATGTTATTTACATGCCAGACTCTGTTTACTACTTCATTTACTATCTTTAGAAACCTTTCAGCAGTTGTCACCTAATGAGAAAAGCTACATTTGTCCATCATACAAGTCTCACTTATACACTACATTAGCAATGAAAATTCAATTACCATTTGGCAAAGTACGTCGTCGACCTACCTCACGTGGTACTCTTACGTCAAATGCAGTCACGCCCCTAGCAGTATAAATGAAGTAGAAACCAACCTACGTGAGAATATCTCCTAGGTACCTTACCTACATGGAAAGTCAATTCGACCTTGTGGTAAAAAAAACTACAGAAAAAAGATAAAAATGTATTATGGCGCAATAATATCGATCAAAGCCCTCAACCGGTTTCTCTAGTTCGTGTGTCAGTTACTGGGATCGTATGCTACGTGCATTTAGAAGCTTACAACTTGTGTAATGAGATAAGAGTCATTGACATCAGACGGGGCTTAGGTAACTCGAATTAGAGTTCGAAGTAAATGGTATGACAATGTTATTTTTAGATTTGGTTTAGTAATGGAAATATTACATCTACTATCATTATTACTGTAAGGTCTACATGAGGAAAATGCAAGGTTTTAAATACAAGGATGGGGTGAAAAACCGCGTGATATAAAATTTTGGCAACACCCAATGTTAACATTAAATGACACTGGCAGTGAAGGTTTCCGGTCATCACACTTGCCAATTCAAACAAAAGCAGACACATTAGGATTTCGACAAAATATTTAGTTTTTTTTTTAATTATTGACGCGCAATTAAACATTATAGAATGGATGGTAACATCGTATAAATCTACATGTTTTATTAAACAAACAATGCAATAAAATGTTACGGCAATATGACACGCTGCTATCAAATCAATTGTTTACCCCATTGTTACGACGTTCCGTTAAATCTCCTGCCCGTCAATTCAAATGCTACCATGAGTTCGACATTTCTTGTTTGTAAATTCTATGGAACAATGTGGTTTGAAATGTTCACGTTCATAATCAGTTTTGAAATTCCTGTATGCATGCCTCTTCTAGAAGGTATAATACAATATTTACTATACTTAATTGAATATTTATCATTAATGTTGCGTTTAACGTTTTAAAAATAAATTGACGTAATTTGCCGTACTATAATTAACATTTTCCTACTTGCTCCACATGGTCTCATGTCAGTTCTAAAAACCAACACAATGGTTTATATGGTTGGAGAAAAATTAAATTAACAGACAGTTTTAGTTACCTGCATTTTTCTACGTATTTTAACATTATAATCAGTAAAATCGAAATAAGTAAATGATGAATAATTGAACTAAATATTCACTACTAGGAAAATTAGCAAACTAAGGAGTAAAAGCTGCATGCAATACCAATTTATTGAGTACTTTTAATTCTACAATTTCAGATAAAGGAAATAATGATAAGTGAGAGAAAATGCATAATGCAAATCTTACCTTCATCAGCGGAGAGATCTGCAAACTTGATACCACCACTGCAAAGAAAAAATTAACATTGAAATATGATTTACATACAAATACTAATTTGTATAAATTTAATGTTTTCATTCTTATTAGATCACTTATGCATTAGTTCCCAATTTCATATGAACATATAAAATTGACAACTACTGCATATTTGTGTTGTGCAAGCTTTTAAATTTCAAAAACTAAGACATTTCACAGTGTATACTACATAAATATGAGTTTAAATTTACATTTTTTAATGCATTTCCTTTTTAATAAAGAAATTGAAACCAGTGTTTAGTATTAACACTCTGATTGTAGAATAATGTGTTTAAAAAATTAGCATGGTATATTTTAAAAATACCATGGTTTCATGCATGTTATTTTTTTAAATACCATGGTTTTGTTTATGTTTATTTTTAAAATACCATGGTCAGAAAATGTGAAACAAAATGTTTAAAACAACGCTATCATAGAAAATGTAAATTTAAAAGCTTGGATTTATGTATGTCATGCACTGTGTAGTTTTTGTAAGTTTCACATCGTACCTGAGGAGCACGTTAGCCGTTTCCGGCACCCGGAACACCTGGAAATAAACACATTGTGGAACCATGATATATGATCTCCAGACGGAGACACCACAATTTATAGGGAATATTGTACATTAATTGTACAAACTTGCTTAAATAAAGCCAAATTAGAAATTTTTTGTTGGAGAATTAACTAATATTAATTAGTGAAAGAATGAGAAAATTTAGAAATATTACCACTGGAAATTGTTTTAGGAAATTGAAATATTTAAGTTGTGATAACAGCTTTGATAAAGCTATGTTTATGGAATTTAGATTTACACATTTCATTGGACGATAATTTAAAGAAGCAGATTTGCAATTCATGAAAATAAGACTGAACTTATTACAATTTACTTTTGTGTTATCAATGAGATTTTCTAGAAAAAGTTACATAAAAAATATTAATTGTTTTGCTCACCTTCCATCCTAAGTTCTCAAAGAAAGTGCAGAGACGGGACTGCCCGGTGGTTTTGCCGCCACACGGTCCTGAATAAAAATACAATGTGGTTTCGAGGTAAAATTTACGTCGTCAAATATCCACGTGTTGCTTTTTTCGTGACACCATTTAACACCATACACAATAATTATTATGCATTGCTGGTGTTTAAGCTAAATTTGTTAAATTAACTATAAAATGAAGCACTAGTATTGATAAAACCAAAAAAACTAAGTACTTAAAATATAGGAACAATTCTTACCTCCAGTGAGGACCAGCTTGTAAACGATTTTTTGGGATTGATTCGCCATTTTAAAGTAAACGCAATATATATAAATTAAAATTAATTACACTAAGAAGAATACTAAGCACACAAATATCATAAAAATGTTGAATTTACAAAAGTGTTGTAAAGAGCCATCACAGTTTAACACGCATCGCCCGTCAGGCGTGCGCTCAAGTGAAAGAGTGAATGAAAAGGACGCAAGTGAATAGTGATTGACTGAAAATTTTGACGCGCTACACCGGGTATTGAATCGAATGATTCATAGACAAATATAAAAGAAACCATAAACACCTGAAAGTAAAAGTTCTAGATATTGATAATGCTGCCATCTAGTAACAGAACGAAACACTGATAAGTTACTTTGGTATCTGGGACGAAAACCCAGAGGTTTTGCCCGCGAATTATCAAATGCCTCAAACGGAAAATAATAAGAATTAATATTTTAACGTAGATTTATTACGTAATTAAGTTACACCCATTATACTTAAGTTTAAAATACATTGACTGTTGTTACTTTGGGTAATATTAGAAGTTATAACTGAAGCTTTTAGCTGAGTACAAGTTTCATTTTCCTTAGAGCTAAAGTCTAACTTTTCTAACTGGATTACTAATACCGGTACACTTTCCCAATATTTTCCTAAACAGCGATTCTTTTTCTCAATGTAGGCAGGTTCCTTGATAGCAGACATTGATTCAGCATCATCTAAAAAAAGGAAGACCAGTAATTTTCATACTTAAACAAAAATAATCTTTATTTTTTCATTGAGTAGGAAATTAAAGTTGATTACCTTCCAAATCTGATATGTCATTATCTATCCATCTGGTTTGTATGTTTATGTATATTATAGCCACATTGAATTCATTTGCTATAAATCTACTGTAATTAACCAAAATATTCAAAAGAGACAAACCTGTAAAAAATACCATTTATTTTGTTAAACAAAATAACATCAGTGATATTTAAATAATAAATCTGATAAAGGCCTCCGATACTTTATCTCCACATTTTATTCCCTTTTAACCTACCCATTTTATTATCATCTCCAAGATGTTGGAACATCAAACACGGTAAAGAATCAACAATAACCAGAGCCAAGTTTTTTATTTCAAGGCTCTTGTTTTTGATCCCTTTGAATAGCTCCACCAAGTCGTCCATAGCCCATATGTGCACAACTCTGATTCTATACATTATTGACGCCATATCCTGAAATATTACAATGAAATATTAGATACTAGATTTATAAGACTGCAAATTAATGATGTCTTATTGAATTAAACCTTTTTAATACATAATACATAACAAATAATTAATGTAATGTTACAATTAAAATTTAATGAAGATTTACAGAAAGCTTCATAACAAGAGAACCTGAAAATTTACCTTATGTGAATATCCTTGAGCATCCAACATTTTTTGCACTCTGACTGCACAGAAATCACCTTTAGTATTAACATACAGGACAGTGCCATTATCATCTTTAGCAACATTCACAGCCAACTGGAAACACATTTGAGTCTTACCAGAGTCTGCTAAACCACAAATTTCAGTTATATGTCTCACTGGAAAACCGCCATTTGTTATTGAATCCAAACTGAAAATTAAAAAAATAATAAGTGACAAAATGATTAATATTTTATTTGAAATAGTTTTAGAAGAATTTAAAATGTAATTAAGTACAACCTCCATAAAAATATTTATAATATGAGTAATAAAATAACAATGAAAAAAGTTTACAAAGAAAAATACCTGTCAATTCCAGAACTTATTCGATATCTACTTTGATAAACTTTTGTAAGTAAAGCAGTCCCATTTATTAAAGGGGCTGAATATCTTGTAAATATTTCATTTCGAATTGTTAATACATCTTGCAAGCTTAATTTTGTTAATAATGTTAACTTAGATACATCTTCTTGTAGGAAATCCAAAAGTGTAACTATACGATTTTGCGCAAGAGTTCTTATTATACCCTCGGAAAGGTTATGAAAATTCTGCGCCTTTAACTTTTGCATTTAATTAATAATAATGATAAAACAATTGAAATAAGGACAAACAAAGTCAATTAGTTACGACGAACTTTTAAATTTGAAGTTTGTTTATTTTTTCGTCTTTGCCATGCCATGACACTTGTCATGTCACTTGTTGATTGAATTGGATTGAATGGTTTGGAATTGGAAAATTAGTTTACAGCAGATTATTATTCATTGTGAATGAGTGAATGAAGGGAATGAAGTCGAACTGTGACTCTATATCTCTACTTTTTTAGAAGGCAACTAAGGGCCAAGCGCAGCGCTGCTCGCCAAAATTCAATTCTACAAACGATATCTTATTAGAAATCTATACTAATATTATAAAGTTAAAGAGTTTGTTTTTTTGGTTGTTTGTTTGAACGCGCTAATCTCCGAAACTACTGGTCCGATTTGAAAAATTCTTTCTGTGTTAGATAGCCCATTTATCGAGGAAGGCTATAGGCTATAAAATATCACGCTACGATCTATAGGCGCCGAGCAGAGCGAGTGAAACCGCGCGGAAGTAGCTAGTGTATGATAATGGGCCTGGGCTTCGATATGAGTCTGTATTTAATTTTTTTACTGTATAAAGTGTGCGTGTGCGTGCATATGTGTGCGTGTTTTCTTAGGTATTAAAAGTGGTTAAAACATCATTTCACTAGGCTTTATTTCCTGGGAAACAATGACATAACATTAGCATTTTGTGGCCTGATGAAGTAAATACTTACAATCGTGAGCAACAGCTTAACATCCACTTTTCGTATAAAATCTGTACCTTAGCTCAGTACTTCTGTAGTCTCTATGTATGTACATTCTATATGCGACTATTAAATGTTACACGGAACTTACGAAAGGAATAAATTTGGATTACATCATATTAAGTCTCTCTATGAGAATTTGATCGTCATACCTGTTCGGCTGCGCCCCATAATCCCATTCATCCCATTGGAGTATGAGTTCAGTTCAATGCGTATAGTGAGATTATGGAGGACAAAAGTCTTCGGTGGACAAATGACCTGTCATGTCACAGTTATCCTTATACGTATATGTGTTGTATTTTTTTTTAAGGGGGGAAATCATCGAATGACTGCCTCCCGCCTGGGTGAGGCGGGAGGGAGTGTCAGACTCTTACTGACTAAAAACCACTCCGTTCCTTCTCCTGCACCTCTAGCCGGAGCCCCGGTTACCCGTTAGGTTCTCAGCGACGTCTGTATGTTGTATAGGGTGACATTTCAGATCTATGTTACTACAGGTTTTATTCCACATTAATTAGACGTTTTATGTTCTGGTTACTGCATCGTATAATTGGTATAGTTGAAAAAAAAAACAGATGACCGACACGTTCTATGTTACAAAATGGTGATATTTAACCTAAAAAGAAATTATCTTTGCGTTTATAAAGAGTTAAATTGTAGAATAGCAATGAAAGGCTGAGGTTGAAATGTCAGAAATTCACAACCTATTCAGAAGGAAGGAGCAAGACGTGATAGTTTACGATGTACTCAACGATTTCTATAATACAATTTTAACCATAGAGCGTGAGCATAGGCTAGGAATGAATGATAGAGCATGCAAGCACCTCGATACAACCTCTTTTCCTCCTCTACCGACGCCCGCCATTTGTGTTTGCTGTCAAACGATGTAATGTCGTGGAGTTGTGAATAAATTGCGATTGTTGCGGCGTAATTACATAGGATATTTTATTTAGTTAAGTTTTATTTTAATTTTCCAACATGTCGAATGCATCGCTTGATAAAGAAACATTTTATCGGCGCATGAAGAAGCTGTACGCAGCATGGAAGGTCTGTAACTCTTCATCTACTGATGTCACCGTTTTTGAGGGCCCGTTGTAGAGTAATTGCATGTGTTACAGGCTGCTGGAGCTGATTCAAAGAGCGATGATGCCTTGGCAAAAGTCGATTGCCTGGTGTCCTGCGTCGGCGTGGACGAAGACACGCTTTACAGCAAGTCAACGGCTCTACAGGTTTGCGCGAGTTTTATTACTTCTCCTTGTGCTTAAAACGATATTATAAGCTGGTTGATTTAGATTCTCATTGAGTGGTCACACTGGATATATACTGCTTGTATGAATCACAAGTTTAAAATAAATAACTAAAATAGGTATACTATCTCTTATTGATCACATCATAACAAGTAACAAAGCTGAAAGTCAGACATTTACAGTTACACACCAACTGAAGTAAAAACAAAAATGTTCAATACATCAATGTTGTTACTATAAATTTTATACAATAACTGTAGCAAGCTTAAATGACAATATACATTTCTACATTTCATTTAGGATTTTCATACTAATGTCACAAATAAATGGAATTTCATAGGTAATTCAATATGTAAAATTATAGTGTTTGGACGGAACTACACAACAAACGTAAAACAAAAGCGCCTTATCAATTGAAATTACTGCAGATTTAAGACTCACAAAGCGTTGACATGATAAAAAAAAAACATTAACACACAAACAATTTTTTAAAAACAATTGAGTTTATTACTCTGTGGCTTTACAACTTCTGGGTTAGGTATTTTACTGATTTTATAATTATTTAAAAGTATTAAAAAGGTATCAGTAAATAGATTTTTTTTATTATTTATTTAGATGTCCGATTGAGTTACTTTCAACCACTACTCACATCTGAGTCATAGTATTAGACAAAGATATATGATATTTTATTTACCTACTTAAATATCTTATTTCACTTTCAAGCTTTATGTTTGAGCATTTTATACCTACAGTATGAAACATTTCACGTGCTCCAATAATTCTGATGCTATTAATAAGTATGATTAAAGTATTATTGACCCTTACATCAACTATACATGCAAAAGTAAAATGAAACTGAATGAGAATCTATCATAATTTATATTTATTGTACATATGTAATAATTTTATAATTTATATGATAGAAAAGAGATAGAATGAAAAACCCTAAGTAACTTTTGATAACAGGAACCAGAATATTTGTAACCACCATAACCATAATTATTGTCTATGTAGAAATATGAAATGTGATTGGTAGACTTGCTTTTGTGTGTGTGTGTGTGTGTGTGTATTATGGTGTAGCCAATAGAGAAAGAGAGACTGGATATTTCAGTAATCTATTGCCTAATTCAAATATTTGTTGTGCAATACTTGGATAGCAACAGTAATTTTGGGAAATTCATTATAAAATATAAAGGAACCATGCATAACATAGTTTGGAATAAGCAGTGTGTAACTTATATTCTAGTGATAAATCTGCACATGTATTATTATAAATCTAGGGATCTAAAGACAATGGTCATTTTGTATAATTATATGCTTAAACAGACAAACGAAACTGCTATTGGTACTTATGATTATTTAATAATCAGTGAGGAAGATAGTTAATCTAAAATTAACAACTAGTATGCAATGCAATATTACCAGGCACAGTTAAACATGTTGTGACATGTTTATACGGTTTTTTCAACCTTCAACCATCATCATACATCTACCCCAATTTTCCCACTGAATATTTATATAGGCCTCTGAAGCAAATTGTATAAAGTTACTCAAATTGTTTTCTTTTCCCATCAGACATGGCTGTTTGGTTATGAGCTGCCTGACACCATAACAGTTCTCACAGAAAACAGTATGTGTTTTCTTGCAAGCAAAAAGAAGATTGAGTTTTTAAGACAAATCGAAAATGGGAAGGAGGAAACTGAACTGCCACCCGTGAAATTACTTGTTAGAGATAGAGTAAGTATTATTAGTTATTCATAGCAGTCTAGATAATATGTTGTGAAGAGTATCCTGATTCTAGATTGTTCTGCAAAAGTGACGTTTAATAGTCTGTGCTAGAACTGCTTAAGTTTACATAAGTAATTGATTACCTACCATGTAAATAATGGGCGTGTCTGTTGTGCGCATGTCTGAACACTAGGGATGTTTTGGTAACAACTTCTCTGTAACCGAACCGGTCACATGATTACAAAAGTTAATGTTACTTTAAGATATTGCATGTTGTATGGTTTTACAAATTTTATAGTGTGCAAAAGTTTCCATGACTAATGTTGAATATTCTTCTAGAATGACAAAGATAAAGAAAACTTCAACAAATTAGTACAAGAGATTAAAAAATCAAAATCAGGCAAAACGCTTGGCGTCTTTGCCAAAGATAATTATCCTGGTGAATTCTGCGAGAGTTGGAAAGCTGTAATGAAAGGTGAAAAATTCGAAAATGTAGATGTAAGTTCAGCTATTGCACATCTCATGGCACCGAAGGAGGATTCCGAAATAATAACCGTGAAGAAAGCATGTATGGTCACAGTTGACGTCTTTACAAAGTATTTGAAAGACCAGATTATGGAAATTATTGACTCTGATAAGGTGAGCCTATACTTTGTTTTATATATTTCCCTAGTGGCTGCAAATATTTTTCGATACTAATTATATATTGCGCTTACAGAAAGTAAAACACTCAAAACTCGCAGAGGGCGTAGAAGCAGCCATCACAGACAAGAAATACGTCACAGGAGTAGACACAAGCCAAGTGGACATGTGCTACCCTCCGATCATACAGTCTGGAGGAAATTACAGTCTCAAATTCAGTGCTGTGTCAGACAAGAACCACTTACATTTCGGAGCTATTGTCTGTTCCTTGGGCGCTCGATATAAATCATACTGTTCCAACATAGTTCGTACTCTACTCGTCAATCCAACAGATGAAATTCAGAGCAATTACAATTTCTTGTTAAATATTGAAGAAGAAGTTATGAAAAAATTGGTTGCTGGCGCTAAACTTTCAACCGTCTATGAAGCTGGTTTAGAATTGGCGAAAAAAGAAAAACCTGACTTAGTTGAGAATCTTACAAAGTCCTTTGGGTAAATACGTTTTCCTTTACCATTAGGCCATTTAGGCAGAAATTGCACATTGCGCTTCATTTTCTACTAGTACTGATATATCATAGTTATAAAAAATCTGGAAATTTTTTATTCCAGGTTTGCAATGGGCATAGAATTT